GTGTGTGTGTGCTTACATCTGAGATCAAATTTGCTACAGTGAAAAACCCCCTCTTGTGAAAAATTTCTTGCTGCAAACATGATTTCGTTGTAGAGGAGTTTCACTGTACACCTTTGCATAACACTGTATCCTTATCAACGTATAAGAGAATAAAAAAAGAAAGAAATATGGACCAACTTTATGGGCCAACTTACAATAAAGAATAGCTTTAGTAACTGGAACAGAAAAGATTTAAAGTGCATCTGAAATTCAAAAATAACATTAAATCCTTAATTTAACAATAAATATTTTTTGACTGACCATGTCAAACCATACGGTACTGAAAAATAAAATTACATCAAATCAATAACTAATAATGCATTCAAACTAATCACCATTATCTCAGGAGCACAATATTGAAAAAAACTTTAACCAGCAAAACAAAAATATAAAAGAATTTGTGTGGTTTTTTTTTTTGTTTTGTTTTTTTTATCAAAGATGATGACTGGATTAATGGCTACAATTAGGACGTTTTGCAATGCACAGCTTTTCGAAGCGAGGTTTGAAGCAGGACGCAGCAACTCTCGGCTCCTGCTCAATGTGTAGCCGGGACCTGTATTAGTTTACTGAAGTAGCAGTCACAAAGCAGCATGATTGTTGGCAATATTCGGCACGTTTTCACTGAAAAACACTCAACCAGCTTATCAGCGTGATTGGGGTGTAATGTCTTTAAGTGACGCCTTAATTTATTTGGCTTCATGCTGTCCGCTACCAAAATTTTTAGACACAGTAAGCACATTGATCTTTCCTCGTTTGCCACCGCAGTCACATTGAAGCCAAGCGCGACATACACCTCGTCATATTTCCTCCCTGAGAATGCTCCCTGCGCAAACTCTGCCAATGAGAGCACCACTGCCCCCTAACGTAGTGGAGGTGCAACTGCATGTTATTTTAGGACAGTAAAAAAAATAAAAAAGCATGTTCCCCGAGGTCAAACGCGCCCCCCTTGACGGAGCCTCGCGCCCCCCCAGGGGGGCGCACCCCACTATTTGAGAAACACTGGTTTACAGCACAGAAAAAAGGGCGAACTTGAACTGAATGAAACTGAGGCCTTGTTAACTGATAGTACAAACAGGAAGGTTCAACTTCAGGTAGGCAGCATGATAAGATGTCCTTGAGTTTGTTCCAGTGTCTCAATTCATGCGAAATATACCCATTGAATTAACAAGGTATCCACTGTTTGTACCGAGAGATGTTTTGGCCTCTGAGGGGCGTATCGGTGGGCTGGGCTGAGAGGCGTGACAAGTAAATGAAGAAGGGAGTGGTTTTTCTGAAATATCACTAATAATTTGCATGCACGATCAATAAAAATAGGTGTCAGTTGATAAGCGCGCACAGAGTGGCTTCATAGAAAAATGCGCCTCCTGCCGTCAGAAAAGACAATCTCTTCCTGAGTCTGCTTGTTGAACTGTCCGAGCGAACATCTCTGCAGGGAAGGAGCCCTAGCTGGTGTGTGAAGCAGAGAAGTTCCGACTGGTTATAGTCGGACATGCCTCCACACAGAGCCTGGGCTCTGGTACCAGTTCTCTCGAGAGGGGTTGGATTGTCTTCCACTCTGAAGTTGCCCACGGTGAGAGGCGCAGAGCAGGTGTGGGCATACTCATTGCCCCCCAGCTCAGTACCTGTACATTGGCGTTCACACCGGTAGACGACAGGGTTGCCTCCCTTGGCCTTCGGGTCGGGGGACAGATCCTGACTGTTGTTTGTGTGTACGCACCCAACAGCAGCTCAGCGTTTTTGTAGTCCTTGGAGGTGTGCTGGAGAGTACTCCTGCTGGGGACACCCTTGTTCTGCTGGGGGACTTCAATGCTCACATGGGCAAGGACAGTGAGGCCTGAAAGGGCGTAATTGGGAGGAACAGCCCCCCGATCAGAACTTGAGTGGTGTTTTGTTGTTGGACTTCTGTGCTGGTCACGGATTGTCCATAACTAACACCTTGTTCAAACTTTTAAGGGCGTCCATATGTGCACTTGGCACCAGGACATCCTTGGCCGCAGTTTGACGATTGACTTTGTGGTTGTATCATCGGATTTGCGGCCTCATGTTTTGAAAACTCGGGTGAAGACATGGGCGGAGCTGTCAACTGATCACAGCACCTGGTGGTGAATTGGCTCTGATGGTGGGGGAAGATACCAGTTCGACCTGGCAGACCCAAACGTATTGTGAGGGTTTGTTGGAAGCATTTGTGTCCCCCATCAGAAGGATTTTCAACTCTCACCTCCGGCAGAGCTTTTTCTACGTCCCAGGGGAGGCGGGGGACATTGAGTCTAAGTGGACCATGTTGCGGTGGTCAATCTGAGTTGTGGCCGTAAGGTGGTTGGTGCCTGTCATGGCGGCAACCCACGAACTTGCTGGTGGACACCAGCAGGAAGGGACACCGCCAAGATGAAGGAGTCCTATCAGGCCTTTATGGCCTGTGGGACTCCAGAGGCAGCTGATGGGTATCGACTTGCTAAGCGGAATGCACCTTCAGTGGTCGCCGAGGCAAAAACTCAGGCATGGGAAGAGGTCAGTGAGGCCATGGACACGACTTCCAGATGGCTTTGAGGAAATTCTGGTCCACCAGCTGATGGGAGGGGGAAGCAGTGCACCATTAACACTGTGTACATTGGGGATGGGATGCTGCTGACCTCGACTCGGGACGTTGTGAGTCGGTGGGCAAAGTACGTCGAAGACCTCCAACTCCACCAACACGCCTTCCTTGGCGGAAGCAGAGTCTGAGGACTCGGAGGTGGACTCTCCTATCTCTGGGGTGGAAGTCACTGATGTGGTTAAAAAGCTCCTCGGTGGCAAAGCCCCAGGGATGGATGAGATCCACCCGAAGTTCCTCATGGTATTGGATGTTGTGGGGCTGTCCTGGTTGACATGCCTCTGCAACATGGTCCGTGTCCCTGTGGTCATCAGGGAGAGTGCCTCTGGATTGGCAGACTGCGGTAGTGGTCCCTCTTTTTAAGAAGGGGGTCCAGAGGGTGTGTTGTGACTACAGAGGGATCACACTCCTCAGCCTCCCTTAAGGTCTATCCAGGGGTGTAGGAGAGGTGGGCCCATCAGGAAGTTGAGCCCCAGATTCAGGAGGAGCAGTGTGGTTTTCGTCCCGGCCCTGGAACAGTGGACCAGCTCTACACCTCAAGGTTACATG